CCAGTCCACATGCAGATCATGGAACGTTTTTCTCTTTTCATAAAGATTGTACCATGATTTGTTTGATACAGTCTGGATTCAGACGTGTGTGAAAATATAAAACATATGATTAATCAGCCTGACTATTAGTTCGGTCGTTTTTCCTTTCCATCGATGTAATGCAGATCTATCGTTTCATTGCAGTTGTGGAATTTGTGCACTCTAGTTGATATTACGGTTGTATGGAATGAGTATTGTTCTCTTTGGTGTGGCCTGAAATGAGCATTGCCTTTTGCTCATTGGTTTCCCCGGAGTGATATAGAATGGGGAAGCTGGTTGACTACTATCTCTATTCTTTGTTGGTGTATCTTACCTTCGTGAAGCTCACTGTGGTTCTTTGAAATTCTATTCTATTGTGCAGTTGGCTCGACCTCGATTTGGCTCGGTAAACTCATGGGTCACTTGGTCAGTCTGTCCATCAAACGGTGTCGCCCGACAGTCCACACCAATGGTGCCCTGAACGGTCGTCACAGTCTTCATTCGGCTCCAGCTTGCAGCGATTCGGAAGACACGAGCACGTCGGAAGATGAGCTGTTCCGAAAACGCTCTAACTCAGCTGTTTTACTAACTCCAAGATCTGCTCAACAAACCTCCGAGCTCCTCGCTGATGAAGGTACTTTGCGTCACTCGAGACACTAGTTCAATTGTAGTTGATTTTCCTATCCCTTCATGTGTATGTTTCACTTATCCTGCATCGCATGTGAAACTTCCAAACGGACAATGCTCATTTAATAGCTTGTTAAAAATCAATTTTTCTTCTAAAACAAAAATTGGATTGAAAGCCTCACCAAATATATCTTCTTACAAGACGATTAAATGAACTGAATCTTTGCATGAGGGCATCCGAACTCATTTGCCTCGTCATCAAAACGCCGTAGCCCACGGTTGCTCCCAGTCACTTCATGCGTGTAAATCGGGTTTTCACGAGGTAATCTGTTCATTTAATCGAAGCGTAGTGATCACTTTATCGCCATCCATCGATCTGAGAAGGGACCATTTTTTCTTTCTTGGTAGAAAAACCGCTTTCCTCTGCGCTGTGTATGCTTAGCAAGTTTGCAGAAATTTGCACGGGGGATTTGATTAGATTGTAACCTTCATGGTAAAAGCGGTTGAGCCGTTCACGGAATAATCCTATTTCTTACTTGATGCATAAAGAAATGGGTTGAGTTTCAGTTTGTACAACCAATAGCCATGCATATTCGTGCGCCGGTTTTAATTGCTGTCTTTCGACTACCCATTTGTAGGAACAGTAAGATTTCAAGTACAGTCGAAGAGCGAATAGAGAATTTCCGTGGACCAATGTTTGCAAAGAAATTGAGAGGATGCGCAAACGTCATTGTTTTGCGACAGCCATATCACTCAGTGTCTCTAACCAACGGTTACGATCATTCCAAGGTCCCCAGCCTGGTAGCCTAACGGGACCTATGTGACCCAGTCTTCTGGTGAGGGTTTTCAAACACTGGTGACAGGTCTTAGCGGACCATCCTTGGCTTTATTCTACCCACTACCTGTCTCGGCAACCATCGCTCGCCGTGAGAACCTATTCCGTGACATGCCCCAACCAACGCAATCTATGGAAGTCGACCACTTGCTCCAGTGAGCAACCGCGATTACCGAAAACTCTGAGCCTAACTTCAGCATTGCTTGTCCGGTTTCCTCACCAGATTCGTGCACTGCTGCGTAGACAGCGGTGTTCAAACACCGACAGTCTATCTTTATCCCGTTCCCGTAATGGCCAGGTTTCTGCGCCGTATAACAGAATTGGCCGAACTGCCGCAACACACACGACCCTCCACAGACGGCCGGATGTCGCGACGGCACAACGGATGTTGCCAGTTGGTGAATGCCAATCAAGCCTTCCGTTTGTTAGCTGGTAATAAAACTTATCCACTTGCTCTATTACTTCCCCAGTTAGAGTGAGTTCGGGAGCTGGACGAACCCAGTCTTGCAGCAAAATTCGATACCTTTGAAGGTGAAAAACGCATACAAAAAAGGGATCCAATGGCACTCAAGCTATCCAGAAAAGCTTGCAACTTACCTGAATCTCCACTTAGCAGTACAGTATCGCTTGCATACTCCATATGAGACGGTCTATCATATAGGAGCACATCGATGCCACTATCCTCTCACGAGGATAGGGCTGTTTCCCTAATAGGCAAATCTATAACTAAATTGAATAGAAAAGGAGAGAGAGCGCAACCCTGATAAACACCACTTTCCGTGGTAAACTTTGGCGAAAAAGCCCCGTATGCTCAGACTCGACGCCGACCATTAGTATAAAGGGATCATAATACTGAAATAAACTTCTCGGGCACAGCCTTCAGGAAAAGGCAGCACCAGAGTTTAGAGCGATCGAATGAATCGAAGGCTGCTTTCAGATCCAAGAGGACAGAAATAGTGGGTGTACGAAAGGAATGTCGGTGCTCCAGAATTTGGTGAAAAGTGAATATGTGGTCTACACATTCTCAACCATGTCTAAAGCCAGTCTGATTCTCACGCATGCTCTGTTCACATGCGGCAGACAATAGACAGAGTATGATCCCAGCGAGAAGTTTGCAAGCAGTGTTGATTAAACTAATTCCTGTATGGTTTTCACAAGAAGATCTATCATTTTCTTGTAAATTGCTAATATGACCGATTCACACCATTTTATTGGAACCTGTTCCCTTTCCCTTATCGTTCCCAGGAATTTCGTCAACTCCAGGAATAACACTGAGCCTCCATCATTAAACGCCGATGAGAACAGCCCATCTTGGCCGAAAGCCTTATGCTTTTTGCGATAACTTGTTCTCTGGGAAATTTCCATTTCAGATGGAGGACTGGGAGTATTTGCCCGGTCGAAGTGGGTGGTAATAGGTCAGATGTCAATGCGGTCCAGTTGAACTGAGCCTCGAACTGTTCAGCCCATCGATCAAGACAGCATTGTTAATAGTTAATGAGTGTGCCATTGAATTCCTTTATTTTCTCGCGCCTATTTTCCTGGGACCCGTATTCTTAATTAGATGGAAAAGATTGCGACTATTACCAAAAGCCGCAGCTTTCTCCATCTCTTTACGCTTTCCTACCCACCACTTCTCCTGGTCATTCCTCAGACTCTTGACGAGCTTGCGCTTAAGGGACTTGCGTGTTGTCATATTTGGCATCAGAAGGAAGCGTTCTTTGGGCGTCCAGCAGGACAGTCGAGGTTGACGCGATCCATCGTTTGTGCCTTGAGCCTGCTCCAGAGTCCACCGTTGTTTTTATTCATCTCTGCTTCCTTGATTTGCTTCCAGTGTTCATTGAATCATTTTGCTGGTGGTTAAACTGATAGGCGATCGGAAAGTTCCGTTTCGAAAGCCGATTTACAATTACCACTGATATTATATTGTGAGTATCCATTGCCGGTGGCTTCATTGTGGTTGTTTGCCAGGCGTAAGGGTAATTTCGCTCGTAACGAAGCGTGATCCGTATCCACAATTTTGACCAATGAGAGTGGCAGTCTCTATTGATCCCCTCCTGCGCTAATTGATGGTGATGTGTTCAAAATGGAGAGATATGTATGATTTCAACTGCTTTGAAAATAATGAGAAAGGAAATCACGCTGTACTTCCGCGAGTTTTGCGCTGGAAAAATTTCGAAGACATGTATGAAACAATTTCTATACATACAGTCATGGGCTTTCCGGCTTGTTGATCAAACTTCATGCTTACACAACTTAGAACAGTTTCCCCGTGGTGGAATCAAATAGGGAAACCGTAAGCAATTTTTCACCGTTTATTGTGGGTCATTTCACTACATCCATACACATAAATACTGCAACTGAAGTGGTTATTCGTATATGGGCAGAACTGACACAATCTTGGGCAAAGAACGATTGTGAACAGCGTAACTAAACGAACACGTTTGCTGCCGAGCCAATGCCTAAGTGGTAAGCAATTCACCATGTTTACACACTTTGATATGATAATTTTAAGTAGTCAATGCCTCGATGTGTTTGAGGATCCTTGGGTTGTGTAGGATCCTGAATGCGTCTACAGATGCAAAGGAGTGATCCGGGATAAAAAAAACTTGAGTTGTTATCCCTCTCTGTTCAAGTGCACTCAATTGTCGACCACACCTTTCATTGCACCGTTCAAGACTCAACCTACCTCGTTAAATTCCGCTAAATAAATGCCTCATGAAAGAATTTCGGTTGGGCGCACAGTATGTGATTCAGGGCTTTATGACCGTCGTTCGTCATTTTTTTCTGAACTTTCCGGTGCCTGTTTCACTCCATTCACCATTCAGCTCTGACTGTCTTTCTAACTTCGCTGGATTTGAACGCTTATATCTGTTCCCGTCTGTCCATTCGTATTCAGAAGTGGCACTTACAATGACCGCAGCATCCGCGTCTCATTTGGCCAAAGCCGCTGCGGTGGTGCGACATACGAATGGGAGCATCGCTGCGGACGAGTACCAAAACGGATTGCGATTGTGTACCGCCACGCCGACATCAGATGCGTATCTTGATGACGGTAAAACTGCGTCCAGTCAATTGCTTGAGAGTCGTGCGGGTGCTGGAGCCGGGGTTCTGTCTGTCGAAGGAGTTGACTATCTTCTATTGGTCGGTGGATACACACGCAAAGGGTGTCTGGACAAAGTCGAGTTGTTTCGACGGCCTGCCTCCTCCCCACTCGGTCCACCTATTGTCGGTCCTCGTCTGAGCAAGTTGCGTGGACGTGTCGGTCTGGCTTCAACACACTGCGGCACATTGTACGCTTGTGGAGGTTCAACTGGTTCGGTCGATTTGGCTTCAGTTGAAAGGTACAAAACAATTGAATTCCAGCTTAGATTTATGCAGATTTTATGGCACACATGCCCTTCCTAAAAATTATGATTAACTGATCACTTCAGTTGTATTTGAACCTATTTGGACTTACATATTACGGGGTTAGTCTATCGATCCATTTCATTCTCGACTTGAACCAGCTCGACCAACGGCCTAGTGTCCTCGGGGACGGAACACTGAAACCCGTTCGTTGCCTTACCCACCAAGAAATCCTTTCATTTCGAATAAACTGGCAGCGATCAACGAAGTTCCCTCAACTGAACTTCGCTGTACGAGTTAACCGGAAGAGATCATTCATCAGCACCTGTTCCGTTTCGGCATATTTTACCTCACACCAAAACACCGAGGAAGCCCTACTCACTGCCTACTCGTGGGGTGTTTTCCCACCAAAGTGAGAGGACGAATAGCCGGCATCCGGGGCTATAACCTGGTTAGTGAATCACTGGTGGTTCACTTAGGGGAGTTGGCTACAAACCCTGATTCCAGAACAAACAAGAGGAGGCGTACGAACNGTATTGACCACCTTGGACGTTTGACTCCGTCCGAAAGGCGTGTGATCCAATTAACTGAACACTGGATTGCTGTTTTCGCACACCGCCCCGCTGCTTTGCGGGTCAGGTATTGGCTAGTCGGAGGCTCCGGTTGTGGATGCCTCAGGGAAATTCACCCTCCCCCTTGGCTTGGGCAACCTGGCAGCATTCCGCCCACATGCAAATCATGGATCGTTTTTCTTTTTATAAAGATTATTGTATCGNGTATATGTATATGCTTTTTCTTAGACTTTTTAAATTTTCTATTACACAAATGGGAATGCAGTCAAAGGAGAACCCCATAATCCAAGGATTGGTAAAGAGAACATTCAAGCCAAAACCAGCTTGTGGATTCTGTGTTTAAAGATAAAGATGTTATAATTTGGAGGGAAAAACGATGACACCTGAGAATGTTCACCTGAAGTGGGTGAGTTGCCGCTTCTGTGCGGGACCTGCTAGGAAGAACAAGTGCAAGAAGGACGACAGAGGCAAGTTCAGTAAAGGAAAATACAAAATGGTGTCAGTAGAACAATGATAAAGAAGCGACTGCTCGATGGTGAGCCAATGACTGCAAGTTACATAATAGAGACGGATCCTTAATGAGACCCCGGTTACTCGGGGTCCATTGGATTTGCCTACAGAAATTAAATGGTTATCTGTCTGCCTTGTTTACCTTTGTCTAATCCATCATTCTTCCCTATCCACATCTAACATCGCAGACTAACTGCACGTGCATTGCATTCCTGGTTATCTGCTCACGTATCACTGGAAGATTTGGACGATCCTTTTGCCGTACGGTCGCCTCATCACTCTGGCAGTTCAAGTGGTGGTGCAAGTGGAAGTAACGGATCATTCAGTGTGTGGCAATCCGTAGCCCGATTGAATCAGCCCCGAGGCAGTCCGACCGCAGTCGGTTTGAATGGGTTACAAACAGGCGCACTGGTGTCCGATTCCCGTGAATCCTTACTGGTAGCCGGTGGATTAGCCGATGCGGAAGCCTTATTTACAACTGAGGCATACATCCCTGAACGAGATCAATGGGTTTCAATGCCTAACATGTGTGAAGGTGAGCCTGTTACTCTCGAGTCCCCTCAGTTAAACTTCGGAATGCAATCCTTTGAAATTAACTAAACTCAAGC